GACCATCCATATCTCTTTATAGCCATTCTGCCTTCCTTGGAGAACAACAAAATCTTTGAAACACTCAACGTCATCGATCTTTCTCGTTCGTTCATACGGGATAAATTCAGTCCAATTCGAGGTTTCAGCAATGTCAGTTTTCATAACCTTAAAATTTGTGGCACCTTCTGCATTCGTGAGGACGTAAAATGTGTCCCCATGCGCATGCGTGACATCATACAAAACATATGTCTCGCGTTTCTTAATCAAACGCACGCCCTTATCGGAATTATCGAGATCAATAAAGTGATGCTCCGAGTAGGTACTGGCATACGAACTGACGAACAGGAAGCGGCCAGATAATGATTTCGATACGTAGAGATTAAACTCGGTGTCCTTCTCTTCATATAGACATGCGTCCTTCTGTTCCGCAAACCCCGCCTCAGCATATGGCCCAGACTTCATCTTATGGCGCCAGACCTTGTCAGGACGATGGGCGTCGTCAAAGGTCTTGTAGTATACCTCGGAACCATCTTTTCCCCACTCGATGGAACCAGTAGTGCCAGCAATGGCATCCTCGTGGAGCAATTTACCAGACTCCAAGTGCAAAAAGCAAATTTGATACGTCTCATACCCAGACTGATCCATGCTGTATGCAAAGATGTCGCCTTCGGGAGATATCTCTGTGGCACCGACTTCACAATACTTTTGGCCAGCGGCAATTTGGTTAACATCCAGAAGTAGCTGTTCCTCCCCTAGTTGACCCGAATTCAAAATAGCTTTCCTGCAGAAATATTTGTAGCTCTTCCCCGCGACGGTCTTGGAGTAATACTTGAAGGCCCCCTTCTTGGCGGGGACGGTAACGTCATCCTCTTTTAGATGGGAGAGCATCTCCTTATAAATGTCTTTGGCGTACGGTTTGAGCGACATAGTCATCCAATTCGTGTAAGCATTCTCCTGTCGCAAATGCTTCAGGACCCGCTCATCTTTCCTGTCATCGTCGCGCATCCAGAAGAAAGGGTCGTCCCTGGTGATGTTAGTGGTCATCAATTTGGACTGATCGCCATGGTTGCGGCCCTCGACCTTGCCAAAGACGACGGGAGTTGGGTCCTCCTCCGGCTCAGGCGGGGTGCGCCTCACAGGCCCTCGCAGATAGTTGCGGATGACATAGCCAGCCGCCGCGGCGACGACCGTTGCGCCGACGGCGACGGCGAGCTTAGGCAGCGGTGAGGCCGGGGTGGACGGGCCCTGCGGGCCAGCGGACATGGTGAGGTTGCGGGCGGAGGGGACGAAGGCTGCACGCGGGGCTGTCATGACGGCGAATGTAGTGCTTCGCGCGCGATTCGAAGGGGCGGGTAGCAAGGGGAGGGGGATTGGCAAAGAGCAAGGGGGGATATACAGCGGCGTACATATGCGTCGGCTCGCGACAGACAAGAATATTTAATGGGGCGGTTCGATCTGAAGTGATTTTTAGAGAGGCGCGTGTACGGTTGGACTTGTGGATTGCTTGCAGTGACGGAGTTACGGAAGTTGGAAAAAAATAATGAGAAAATTGGGGCATGCGCGGTTAGGGCACGCGCGGGGCGTGGTGCGGATCGGTGAGGCGGTGAGTCGCGTGTGAGAAGCGTCCGGCCGCGTCCGTGCACAGGGCGTGGCACAGTGGAGGCAGGGCGCCGGCGCTGCAGGGGCGATGGCAGTTTGGCCATCAGTGGCACGGACGCTATGGAAGCGC